TTATGTGGGAGGGACTCAGTTTAGCTCCTCTCATGAGAAGGGGCTATGGAGGTGGTGGAGACTCAGAGCATGAGCGACAGTGCTCCAGGGCTGTGGTGCTTCCTAATTACTATCAGTAGTCTTTGTGAGTGTTAAGAAATAAAGACAGAAGGCTTATTTAGCTGGTATTTTCATAAGGATCATATGGGAGGATTGAAGAGGCACAGATGACATACTAGAACAGTGAGCATCCTTTGAAATGCATTTTAGAATGTATAATTGTCACTGGAGGCAATTTCCCTTTGTAATATAGTTCTGAAGTCATTATGATCAAAATCAATGGAAGATATAATTCCATATTCACTTTAAAACATCTGATGTGTACAAAATGAGGTGCTGATGGAATCTGATGAGGGTTCTCACATGGGTAATCCAAGTATTATAAAAAAATAGAAAATAATTGTTTAATGCAGTTGTATGGAATTAGCATAATTCACTAGATTTATGTGAAATTAACAAACAAACAAACACGTATGTCCAGGTTTCTCTTTGAAGATTTTGACTTAATCGACTGGGAGTGCTTCTCCTAGAACTGGGTTTTTAGAGGCTCATTATTCTGATGTGCATCCTGAATGAGATCTGCTGCTCTGAAGCACCAGATCACAGAGCTGGGGGAGGGGAAGAGGGACCATGGGATCCCCATGTAATTTTATTTGTCAACTTGACTGGGCCACCCAAGGAGTGTGCATATACTTAGTCAAAAGTTATTCTGGGTGCTGTGAGAATGTTTTTGGATGAGACTATTATCTGAATCGGTAGCCTGAGTAAAGCAGATTGCCCTTTCTAGGGTGGGTGGGTCTCATCTAACCAGTTGAAGACCTGAATAGAACAAAGTGCCTGACGGTTGCACAAGTAAGAGGGAATTCCTTCTGCATGACTGCCTTTGAGCTAGGACACCAGATTTTTCCTTCCTTTGGACTTGAACTGAAACGTCAGCTCCTTCTGGGTCTTGAGCCTGTTGGACTCAGACTGGAACTATACCAGAAACTCTTCTAGTTCTCAGGCCTTTTAACTTGGATTAGAATTTACATCACTGGCTCTCGTGGGTTTCCAGCTTACAGACTGGAGATCTTGGGAATGGTCAGCCTCTGTAATCACATGAGGCATTTCCTTATGATGAATATCTATCTATCTATCTATAGGCATTTCCTGATGAATATCTATCTATCTATCTATCTATCTATCTATCTATGATCTGATCTAGATCTCCTCACTGCAAGTCCTGGCTTTTTTCTACTCAACAAATTTTTCTTCTTTGTTGGTTGTATTATTGGTACCAAAATAGCTATGTGTACTCATAGTTAGTAACATCAATTATGACATGAAATACATACTTTATTTGACTTGCTTTTCATATTGACTAGGAGAATGAGTTAAAATTAATTTTCTTATGTATTGTAGAAAAAAGATTGTGCTAGAAGAAAGGTACTTGATATTAGGTGATTTAGTTTTTGGAAGTAAACCATGTCCAGTTACAGAGGAGAATAATCACGATTCCTCCTATGCAGAGGTGATCTGGGAAGCTGAAGAAATTTAAGGTCCAGTCCCCTGTCACACATGGGCCCTTCCTAGACCTTGGCAGCAGTCCTAGCAAGATGTAAATATGACCATATGTTTTGGTGTCATTTGCAAAAGTAAGATAACTGAGACACACTTGTCTAAACCTCTGTCTCTTTCCTTTCTGATATTCTCTCCAACACCCTGGTCCTCTTTTCTGTTGGACACAGAGTAGCTGTGGGAAAATTTGGGGTCTTGCCAAGTATACATGCAGTTGGTATACAGTGAAATATTTTTATGGATTTGTTTATTATGTATACCTCGTCGAAGTTCTTTCCTCTCAGAAATATATTTGATAAAGTACCATGCTTTTAAATAAAGTCACATGAAAGATAAATTTTTAGAAAATCTATATTTGTGGATTACAAACTTCAAAAAGTGAATATTCCAAACAGCAAAATGCCTGTGTGTTATGCTGTGGGTTTATTTATCCCAATTTCATTCAAAGAAAAAGACAAACTATTCTGGAAGACTAAACCCTATCTATAAAAATATTATAAAATCAGTCATACTAGTCCAAAATCTGGGGAAAATCTAATTTTTAGTTATTAAGTAGTTATTGCTATTAATTTACATATTATTTTTAGGATTTGTGATATTTTATGGTATTTGACAGCTTTCTAATATTTGTGAATTGTTGTTTTCTCATTTTCAATAAATATTTTCATTCTTAATTTGCTCTGTCCCCAAATTGTAGATAATTCAGGCTCTGTAAAACGCTGAATTTACTCATAGTCCTCTGCCTTCCCCTCGCTTGACCTCCGAAATTCCGCCAGGTGGCGCTGTTCTGCATAGCCCTGAAAGGTCCATGCTGTTACAACATCACTCACTTATTAGGAGGAATTGTTTGCTTTTTATCTCCTCCCAGGGAGTAATGCCCTTGAGGTCAGAGACCCTTTGGGAGCTCCTCCAATGCTCCAGGGTATGACTTAGTGAGGAGGGGTCAATAGGTACTTGAGCATGGACTTAATGAAGGTGGATAATAAATGTCTTAGGGCAAGGGAAGAAAAGTTGCTGGAAGATTAGACTTTGGCCTATTTTCTATTGTTCTCCCCTCCCTGCCCACCCCCAGAGATGGCTTTTGCTGATTCTAAGATATCACAGTATTTACACAAAAAGGCACAAAAAGTTCCAAAGAAGAAAAGTGGTTTTGTCAGCTCTTTGGTTGTGGAAAAGATTTGCACAACTCAGGCTCCAGCCTCCAAAGATTTCAAAAACGCCATATGCTAGGGGAGAGCTGGGATGCAGTCACAAACTCCAAGTCACCAAATCTGACAATTATGTAAGACGGAGTGTTTCCAAGAATAACTTGTTTACATAAAAAGTAAACAGCATCATATGCATGTAATTAAACAAATCATAGGTTTAACTATCATTTTAATATTAACATAGAGTTGGGGAGCTGTGAAATTCTCAAGTTTACTTTGAATCACAATCTCACTGTTAAGTGACAAAATGCAGAGAGAAGTGAGTGACTAGGCTTTTGGGTTTTTACTGAAATAGGGGTACCAGTGACACAAATGAAAGGCAAAACCTCAATTGGGCTTTAGATTGGTTAAGAATGCTCCTAACAGAAGTTCTTTGAGATTTAAAATTAAATTAGGAGGCATAATTGCTGTAATTCTTTTGATTAGAATAGTCTTTGCTCTTTTACATATATTTAACACCTTTAATGAGATTTATTTCACATACTGTGCAATTAACCCATTTAAATAATACAATTCAGCCGTTTTTAATATACTCACAGTTGTGCAATCATCACCAATATCAATTTTAGAATATTTCATCACTCCCAAAAGAAAAACCCTGTATCCATGAGCAGTCACTTCTCCTGTCCCTCCCACCCCCACAGCTTTAGGTAATCATTAATCTAATTTAATACTATAGATTTGCCTATTCAGGACATTTCATATAAGTGGAAATTATGAGTGGTTTCTTTCAATTTAGGTAGGTTTTTGAATAGGGTTTTTATCATCTGTCATTCTATCAGCTAGTCCTATCATTACTCAAATAAAGAACATAAATTTATGCAGATTTTTTATGAAAACCTCACTTTGAAAAAAATAATAGGTGTAATTTTCTTTTTGCCACAAGAAAAATATTAACATTGAGCTCTTTTATACATGCGTGAAGCAAGAGATAAACATTTTCAAATATTATTTTCCTTAAATGAATACTGTGGTTTTGACAGGAGTGCAGGCCACTATCTCATGTTTAATAGAGAGGGACTGAGTCAGAAAACAAAGAAAGACATTTAAATTTATGAGGATTTGGAGAAATGTAAGATCTTTCCTTATTACCAGTGCTGGCACTAATTTTTTTGGTGAAATTAAATAATATACTTTAGCTCTAATAAAATATATCCCAATGTGATTTTTCTTAGTTTTATCCTATAGTAATTATGTGCAGCTTCAGGCAATATTTAATTAAAGATTAGACTATGCTAATCCTAAAAACTCTGTTTATCTAGAAGTAAAAATCGGAAACACGTGTCCTTGATGCCTTCAGGCTATCTCAGGCCTCCACTGTGATGCCCTTTGGGATTTACCCTGTTCAGGGCACACACTTGTGTATCTGGGACTTTTTCTGGCCCTTTGGCCCATAAGGTCTGTCCAATTCCTTCACGATTCTGTTTACTGCTTTCCACAGGGCAACAAGTGAATTTAGCCAATTCATATTAATGTGCTATTTAAATTTCACATCATCTCAACTATCACTCTCAATGCTTCCAATTAAAAATACTAAAACTATTCCAGCCTAGTGGCATTCAATGAGGATTAAATTTTCTAATAAAGAGAAATATGCTGTTTTACATTAGAGTCATTTGATTTAGAAATTTCCTATTATCATCCTCAAAATATTTCCCTTGCAAAACATGTTTTCTTATGAACAGAGAGCAATCATATCTCTATTCTTAGGCCAAAATTCCAGGTTAATCATGTTAATAACATGACAGCAACGGTAAAGAAGAAACCTGTCCATTTAGATGGCAGAATTCTTAGGCTCAGTCTGCAATAGTGCCAGGCTCATAGTAGGTGACCAATAAATGATATATGTTCCAAGCTAATACTTATAAGTGAAAGGGTGAGGGCTATGCCCTCCATCTTGCTCCGTATCCTCCATGTTGGGGCAGCAGCCATGTGCTCAGGAAAGTACCTTCTTCCCGGAAGCCCAAGCATCTGCTAGCCCACGCCCAGGATTTCTTTAAACTAACCAATGACAATCAAGGGCCATTCGCACCATAGATATGACCACATCTTGTGTAACAAGACCCGACTTGCACCTGGCCAATCGGCAGGGCCCACAGTCATCTCTCCTCCCCTCACTCCACCCCCCTATTAAAAACCCCTTTTTCCCAGGGACTGGCACTCTTGTCTCGCCGCTGCGTCGGTGGAGGCTGGAAGCCAAACCCGGGTTTGATAATAAAAGACTCTCTGCTTTTGCATCGGACTAGGCTGGCTCCCTGGTGTGGTCTATTGGGGATCTTGAAATCTGGGCATAACAATAAGATTTACCCAGTTTTCATACAGTGATTCTTTCAGGAGTTGTTAATTGAAGAAATTTAGTACCCTTTGAACTTCACATTGAATTCAGTTGTTTCTTTAACAGAGTAAGATGTTTCTTTGGAATATTATTAAAAATTCATCTGTATTTTAAATATTTAAGCAATGGAAATTCTGTTAATTAGGTAACTTCTGTAAATTTATGAATTAGTAAAAATTTGCTCATATCTATGTTTAATCCTGGTAATCACAGGTAGCTATAGGAAAAGTATTTTTAGCAGTGATGGACCATATTCATTTTTATTTTATTTAAAAATATATTTGTATTGATTTTAGAAAGGAAGGGAGAGACAGATAGAAACATCAATGATGAGAGAGAATCATTGATTGGTTGCCTCCTGCACACCACCTACTGGGGATCGAGTCCACAACCCAGATATGTGCCCTCATCGGAATCAAACCCGGGACCCTTCAGTCTGCAGGTCGACACTCTTATCTACTGAGCCAAATCAACTGGGGCCATTTTTATTTTTCAGTATTGACCTATTCAAGTACAAAACAGTTGTTCTGGAATTATGAGTCTTATAGCCTGAGGTTATTTTTCTGTGACTTAGCAAGGATTCAAGTACCGTAGGAAAATTCTCTTTGTTCACATCTGAGTATTTGACTTTAGGCTTTCTCTGATCACCATAGCAGTAATCACTTTACTGAAGAAATAAATAAGTGATAAATTGAGACAACTATTCTTCCAAATTACTTTATCAACACATGAAAGTATATCTTATAAAAAGTGGAGGATGTCATTTGGAGGTGAGCAAGGATAGAAGGAAGAAAACAGGCCAAAAGAGAAACAAAAAAGAAAAGTCATTTAAAGTATACATCCTTGACTTAAATATTAACAAATAGGGTGTAATATATCCATTAAAATATTGCCTCTGTTTTCTTTCAGACTGAGCATCACTCAGTATTTACAGCTAATGTTTATACCTGTAGTATGAACACTTCCAGCAACTTTGTAGGTTCTATGTGCCTTACAAGCCCTTAATGTAATTGATTTCAGTTAATCAGCACATGAAGTCAAGAAGGGAAACATTGTTATACTTATTTTCCAGATGAGTAAGCAGTCTCAGAAAGTTTAAGGAACATGCTGAAGGCTACAGAACTGGTAGATGGCAGTGTCAGAATGAAAACCCACGCCCTGACCACTTTGTGATGGGGCCTTCCACCATCAAAAATCAAGCAGCTATTTTAAATATTTGATTTTCTATTGTTTTGAACTTAATTATTTTGCATAGTTTTGGGAACACAATTCCCTATGCTAGAATACTAAGCAAAAAATATAAAAATCAAGCAAAAAGCTACATGATGCGGCTAAATAATGATACCTTACATGATGATAGGAGTGCTTCATTTTTTCAATACATGAAAAGATATTTTAACCATGAATATCATTCCAACAATTTAAAAATCATCAAACATCCTTAAAAAGGCCATGATCATTTGCATTACAGGAGCAGGAAATTTGAAACTGAGCCTCTAAGGTAAGATTGTAAATACCAGGTATACCGGTTAATAATGCGGGTTTTTTTTTCAGTAGATGGAGTTACACATATGTTGATATATATGCGATTTGATATGTATGCTATTTTGTTATATTGACAACAAGCTTCAAAACTTCGTATGTCAAGTTTTCTGAAGGTGTTAACGTCATAGATATTTTTATGCTTAAAAATGTCAAATTTCGTGCCAAAAAAGAGCATTTTGTGGGAAGTTTTAATTCATTACTTTATTTTGAAGAAAAGTGCTGCTGCTGAAAATCGTATACTTCGGGAAGCTTATGGTGAACATGTCCATCTCAAGATACTTGTGAATGCTGGTTTAAACGCTTTAAAAGTGATGATTTCGATGTGAAAGACAAAGAATGTCTAGGTCAATTTGAACCACGCTTTGATTGTAAAATGACCAGAATGGGCCAGAAGACACAGCAAAGTAATTTTGCTTCATGATAATGCACCATCACACACTTCAAAACCAGTTAAAGACACGTTAAAAGATCTTACCTGGGAAGTATTAACCCATCCGCCTTATTCACCAGACCTTGCTCCTTCAGATTACCACTTGTTCGGATTGATGGCACATGCACTTTCTGAGCAGCATTTCAAAACGTACGAAGGAGTGGAAAATTGGGTCTCTGAATGGTTTGCCTCAAAACAAGAAAAGTTCTATTGGAATGGTATCCACAAATTACCTAAAAGATGGGGGAAATGTGTAGCTGGTAATGGACACTACTTTGAATAAAGCATTTTTGATGTTTCTCTTGAAATTATCGTGTTTTCTTTCATAACAAAATCCGCATTATTAACTGGTACACCTGGAAAACAATGCAATTATTATCGCTCAGACATTGTCAATTCATGCCCTGTAGACAGAGAAATAAAATGGAAATTGATAGGCATCAGAGTAGCCAATGTATTTCCTTGCTGTGACCTAGTGACCTTTCTAAGCAAGTCTCTGAACTGGTTTTATTCTCCTTAATAATCTCCTGACAGAAGCTAGCCATTTTCCTGACAGGTTTAAAGCCTTGTTTGTTTGTTTGGTTGGTTGTTTGGTACCAGTGACTTTTGTAAGGTTATGCCACAATCCTGAACACTGGTTGGTATTTTTCTTCATGCCTTTGGGTTTAAAATTTTCCATTCTTGTTCTACTTTCTATCTTCTTCTGAGTCAAATCCTGGCCTCCACTAAGGTTTATTTAATCTCCGTCCTGTATATAATCCAAGGTTAGTAGAAACAATTGCCATTTGAAAAGCCTCCGTAATTTTGACCACCCCTGAAGAGAGAGGAAAGGAGGTTCTTCTGTTTTATTTTGGGGCGGTGTGAGGTGGAGAACTGATGTAAACAGGAGTTATTTATAAGAAACTCAAAGGAAATGTGCCTGGTTCTAGACCAGAGCCACTTAAAATTTTCCTTGTAAGTGTTTTTGAAGTCTGGTCATAAATAATTATTGGAAACTAAGTTTCAAATAATGCTCAAGACTGTACTTGACCTTTATCAAATCTTTTGGGAATTTCTTTCCTCTACCATAAATGTCTAATAATTTTTCAGTGAAAAGGTCAGGTGAATTGAAGATTCTCACGCAATCGATTCGTAAGCATTGACATTTGTTTTTGTATTTGGACAAATGTTCATGCTGGACTTTGACTCACTGAGATATTTGAGTAATCGATCCTTTCAGCTGCTGCACACCAGAGAAATATTCTTCCTCCTCCAGAAGAGAAGATGTAAGCCACAGATATAAAGCTGCACCTAAGCTCACCTCTGATGTTGCTGTCAAAACTCAAAACAATACATTTGTCAGGTATCATAAAACTTTAACCTTACGGGCTGACTAAAAACATTCAAACATCTTGGAATCATAAGATATTTATAGCGCACAGTGGAAAAGCATGTTTTACCTGGATGTTTAAACTGTCTCAGCCAGAGTGTAAATAAAATTCTGCAGGCATTCGGAATTTCGGTGAGACACTGGGAGAAGTGATGAGAAGAACCAAGCCGACTTTCATCCAGTGGTTCCTGCTCATGTCTCATACATTGGCCATTGTTCTAATGTGTTGACCACAAATCAGAGACAATGTCCCATCTTTGTAGAGTGTCTCCCTCAAGTTGGGAAACACAGATGTCACTGAAATTTGAATTTTATATAATGTTAATGTATATTGTTCTTTTGATTTTTTTCAACTCTTTTTTTTCTTTTTATTTTATTTTTTTTTTATTTTTTATTTTTTTATTGCTTAAAGTATTACAAAGGGTATTACATATGTGTCCTTTTTTTTCCCCCACCCTTGACAATCCCCTGGCCTCCCCTACCCCCCAGTGTCTTATGTCCATTGGTTATGCTTATATGCATGCATACAAGTCCTTTGGTTGATCTCTTACCCCCCTCCCTCCTGCCCCCCAACCCCCCCTGGCCTTCCCGCTGCCGTTTGACAATCAGTTTGAGGCAGCTCTGCCTCTGTATCTATTATTGTTCATAAGTTTATAATGGTCTTTATTGTCCATGAATGAGTGAGATCATGTGGTATTTTTCCTTCATTGACTGGCTTAAAAAAGGACACCATGGGCCAGATTTGACTCTGGCCATGGTTTGCCAACATCTACTCCCTGAAATCAAATTGGCCATTGACTCATGTGAAGTTGACTATATTTTATACTACTTGAGTTACAGCATCTATAAATTTTATTGCATTCTTTTGTCTTTAATTGAAGTGACTAGCGCAGTGCCCGAAAATGGAAAGGTATAGTAAATAAATGAATGAATGAGTGAGTGATTACATGAACTATATCCATCCAATCGAATTTCCCAAGAAATGATGTGTGTCTTCTCAACTGATAAATGCTCATCACTTGAGTGGAGACCATTGGCAAAATATCATCAGTTTTTTACTTACCATGTTTATTTGACAAATATGGTTCGTGGGTACAGAGATAGTCAAAGGAACCAAGAGGAAAGATATTCTTATCTAGGGCATGGACAGGTCTCAGGACATTTGTGTTGTTCTCAACTTTTTAGACAAATAAAATTTTCTTTCAAAAAATGGTGGAAATGACATATCCATGAACCTTTCTTGGTGGAGACTGTTTGCTGGCCCTTGAGCAACTACATATGCTACATGCCACTTCTTTGTTTTTGTTTTTGTTTTTTTCTGTGTTTAGCTAGAGAGATTGCAGGTGGAAAATACAGTGGAATGGGACCAGAGGGAAATATTTGAAACTGAAAAACAAGGACTGGATAGAGAAAATAGAAGGCTAAAGGTCCAGGTGAAAGAAATGGATGAACTCCTCAAGAGGAAAGATAGATTAAGTGCAAACTCCCAAGATCCTGATTTCAAGACATCAGAAATTGAACTGCAGGAGACAAATAAGGTACGGTGCTCCTGGGAGATGGGTGTTCTCACTCACTGTGTGTGCCTCTGAGGTCTAGGTGGAAGCCACCTTAATTTTTACACACCTCCGATCAGAATATTTCCTTTTGTGCAATCTGATCGTTTGCTCTTTTTCTTACTGTGATTTAAAATAATGTTGTTCATGCTTGTGACAAATTTCCTATGAGAATGTCAGAATATGACAAATCTGAGAGTTTCAGGCTTTTCTTGTAAGAAACAAAAAAGTGAAAGCAGGGATGGATCTTTGCAAATTTGGTTTCCTATTATAGCTTCTTGTCAGTGTTTTCTAAACAATTGATCGTATTTTCAATAAGCATATTTCTCCATGAGTTTGAGTAACTATGCAATAAGCATTCCTCAGTAGCTATGGTTAAGTACTGTGTCTGAGTAAATATTTAGATTTAGCTAAAGCTCACTCTTCTCTGCTTCTTTTTTAGTTAGCCTGAGGAAATTATTTTTGTGTCAATTAAATGTCATGGTGCAAATTGTTTTTATAGGTTATGACATAAATGTTAAAACTAGATTAAATCCAAAATTTGACTTCAGGAAACAGGTTGTTTTGGAATTGTTTTATCCTAAAGCCAATAGACATAGTCACTGCCATGATGAGATTTTTTGATAAGTAGTTTTTAAATTTTTAAAAAATATTCTCTTGCAGTTGCAAATTATTTGTTTTAGTGCCAATGTGCTGCAAAACACATACAGTCTATTTCTATTTCTTCTCTTAAAGCATCTATAGCATCTTAATGCACAATTATATTTTTTCACTCAATGCCTTTAATAGCAAGTTAAAAATGTATCTGATAAGTTCATGCTTTTGAGTTATATAAGTTTTTCATACTCATATGAGCTCTAAAAGCTACATTTCCTATCACTTTTTCTTATTCTCTGTTATTCTAGGAGTTTATTGCAAATGCAAATTAAATTGCATTAGTGTTTCATGACTTGGCAATGCAAATATCTAAAGTTAAATGTTATAGTAAGTGATCCTAATTTTCTCTTATGTGGATTCATAAACCATTCATAGTGTTGTGTTTGATTC